CGAATGCTCACCCCTACATTCCGCAAAGGAAAAAAAAAGTCTAATTCAATCTAACCCATTGTCATTATTAGGTGAAATGAACTAAACACAGCTATTGGGTTTGGTTTTAGTATTTTGAACTCAAACCCAAGTTTATGGTAGTTTGGGTGACTATAAAGATATATTACAAGAAGGTTTGTTCAGAGTTGTTAATAATGGGAGAATAGCCGGTAATTACCAAAACCACACCCAAGCTTTAGTTATTATTGGCTTATTAGTTTTGGTTCAAAAAATATTTAGGGTAAACTACACATTTAGTAACTCAAATATCATTTTTGTTATGTTTTAGTCAGCCAACTATTTTTTTTTTATTTTAAAATCATATAACGTTACATTTTAGATTATTTTTGGTTACCCACTGTTAAAAATCAACGGTGATACAGACGTGTCACCATAGGATAATGTCACGTCATTGTTAAATCTTTTTAAAAATGCCACATCATCAGTTTTGTTACTTTTTTAATAGTGGGTGACCAAAATAAAATCAAAACATAACATTAGGTATAATTTTAAAACAAAAAAAATAATTGGGTGACTAAAATGGAATAAAAGTGATAGTTGGGGCACTAAATATGAATTTACCCAAATACATATTATTCGCTTATTACCCAACACCTTGAAGTCTTTTGGTCATTTCAACACAGAAGCAATGCAAATCTCAAAGTTGTGAAGTTTGAGGAGCAACATATGTGCGATTTTATGTTAAAAGAGTAAACTTGAATTTTTAAAATTTTAAGGCATCGAATTTGAACTTCTAAGATTGCAGAAGAGCGAAAATAGATTTTCAAAAAAAATACATATAAAACTTTTAAAATATAAGATAATTTTAAATTTTCAAGGAGGTGGCGGCTATTCCACTTGCCCCTGGGTCCATCCTTGATTGGAGGCCACGCCACTTGGACATCATATCACGAACAGTCCACGTTAATATCCAAAACTAGTTCCTTTTGTTTCTTTGCCCTTGGTTTGGTTGTGATGGTTAAAGTGATATTATCTTATAATGAAAGAACATTACCAAGTTTTAGTAATTACAAATTTGAGATGATGTTGCTCGATTTTAAATTCATGTATCTCCACTCACTATATATTGTTTGCACGTTATTTCAAGTTCCATTCAAGAATCGGTTTAGTAGTTATTTAGTTGGATAAAATATATAAATGGTCCCTCGACTATAGGGTGACGTTTTGTTGAGTTCTTCGACTATTAAAAATTACAAAATGGTCCTTATTAGTGCTTAAATTATGCATTATTTTGTGGTTAATTACTCCTTGATTAGCTATTTTAAGTTGCTAACTTGTCCCTTTTCGTTCATTTTCAATGCAGGACAGTAGATTCAAAAAATGTTGCTAAAACTCATGAAATTGTGCAATTTTTGGGTTTTCTATATTCATGACTGGACTAGTGGGAACCCAGTCAACAGCTTCTAGAATTTCCAGTCAGCATATTGCGTGAAGAAGAAGATTTAGCCGCATTTTTCAAATTCAAATTAGGATTTATTTTTATTTTCATTTTTTAGGAATTGTCTTTTTAATTTGTATGTTATCTTTTAGGGTTTTAAGGACTACCATTGGGGTAAGCCTCAATGCATTCCGAATTCATCATTCAATTCTTGTTTCTTTCTTTCTTTAAGTTTTTATAAAAGTTCTTCCTTCATTTTATTTTCTTTTCAAGTTTTTAATTTACTTTATTTTAAAACGCTAAGCATGATTTCAATCATACTTAGCTAACTTTTCCATAGCCAAAGGCTAAAACAGTGACTTGATTCTAAGTTGTGAGAATCGAGAAGCACATCATACCCTTTAAGGTTACATTTTTAGTTTTCGGAAATCAATGATTGGTAATCGATCATCCTTTTACAATCAAAACAATTTCATTTCAAAAAGTGCAAGTTGGAATTGAATTTCGGTTTCGATTAATAGTTGGGAGGAAGGATTGGCCTGTGGCACATTCGACTTCCTGTGAACACAGTTAGCGGCGGTCCTCTAAGGGAAACTGAGATCAAGTTAGATATTCATTTGAGACGGTACAATCCGAGTCGGGTTTTTCCATAATTTAAAAGCGTTGAATTAGTAAGCAATTGTCGTAATTGATTCACAAAGAGTTGAGATCTAAAAATTAGATTTTAGATGATCGATTCATTTGATAGAAAAACAAGTTACAGGGGTTGGGCCCTGTAGACTGTAACCGACGTGAGCCTGAAGGTAAAATCCTATTCAAGGATCGATTTAAATCTAGACAGAAGCTTTAGCCCAATGTTGATTTTTATCAATTAAATTTTCACTTTAATTTACTTTGTTTACTTTCTTTATTTTCTTTCAAATCTTTTTTTTTATTTCAACTCTCCAAAACCCCCTTTATTCACTCTTCCCTTCAAATCACGCCTGAATCAATATCAAAAGCGGGGAATTCATCAACTTCCTAGTCCCTGTGGATCGACCCTTACTATCTCTATATTGTCTTTCATATTTTTTTTTATTTGAGGTTAAGGCTAAACTTTATTTGACATCAAAACGATGTGTTGTCAATCCTCTGAATATAGAGTGTTATTTTATTGAGTCCTTCGACTGACCATTTATGTACTTTACCCTATTTAGTTTTCAGAACATGATATCTAGGGGTCTAAAAAGAAATCAATCTAATTGATTCAGTTTATTGATTTGATATGAAGAATTAAATATTTGATTAGTCTTTTTTATTTTTGGATAATTTAAATTAAATATTTAAGAGAAAATGAATAATCAGATTAGAATCATTAGATACATATCATTTAATTTTAATTTTAATTTTTGGATTATCCAAAAATCCAATAAAATTTGGATATTTAGAATTTAGACAACCTCTAACCCGATAAAAATAAAATATTTAATTATTTATTATGTTTGAATAATTAAGCATATATAGAATATAGTGGAGATATAAAAAGATATTGCATAAAGTCACAAATATAAAATTTAAATTTAATTTTTTTGTCAAATTAAATTTATGTTTTGATCTGAATAATCGGATATCTGGTCCAAAATTAAGATATCTAAAAAATAGATATTTAATTTTTTGGATTAGATATAAATCACAGTTTTAATGATTTTAATTTTCGGATATCTAAATTTTAAATCTTATAATATTCGTTATCTAAAAATGTACACCCTTAATAACATGATGTACATAACCACTTGGCTGAATATATTTTGGATGAGATTTATTGGTTTAGATGTAATAGGTATATAGCTTCAAAGAATAAGATTGGGAGGTCAAAGACGTACGTAGGAATTTTATCAGTGGATGCAAAATCAGAAAATTATATTTGAAATTTAAAAATTCAAGAGTTACAAAATTTTAATAAATAAAAATATAAAAATATTTAAACTATAAAAAAATTTACAAAATTAAGATTGTGATCCCTCAGATTTTAAAGTCAAGTTAATGGTAAAAAAAATGTTGTCCTCTTTAGAGGTATCGAGTTCGAACAGTTATTTCTACAATGTGTGCATTATCAATAAATTAAAAGTTTCTGAATAAATATTACCTTATAATTACTCCTGACTATAAAAAAAAATGTCTCCCAAATATTTATTTTATTGTCACTTATGTGAGACTTGGTAGACAATTTTGGAATGGATATTTTTATTAAATAAAGAGAAAGTATAAATTTAGATTAAAAGGAGTGTTATAAGCACGTCGTATATAGAATAATAAGATGAGAATATTAGGGGTTAGAAGACAAGGCAAGTACATGTGCAAATGTCAATGATCATCTTTAATTGTATTTGGACATCTCACGCAAGTGCCTTCCCACATGCTTTGGCCTTTGCCTTTACTAATATTCACCCAACGTGCACTTATCAAACTCCATTACCCCTCTTAACCATCTCCATGCCAAACTAATTTTCCACCTACATCAACTCTAATCCTCATCATCTTTTAATTTAAACACATTTCATGACGAGAACTCGTTGAGTGGCATCAGTAATTAAAAGAAATATTGTTCTTTCTTGACTTCTAGGTTCGAGCACGATGCCTGCATGGGTGTTTAAGAATTTACTATCGAATGGTTGAGAGTCTTTCAAACATATATTACCTTTTAATCGCTTCAGACTAAAAAATTCATGATGTGAACTCTTAGAATTTAACCAATAATAGAATTAGAGGTGATCAATAAGGACAAACGGAAAATTTTATGTTAGGATTAAGTTATATAATTTTAAGGGATGAAAACATATTATTAATAAAAATATTTAAAATGTATAAAAATTTAAATTTTTTAAGATAACGATTTTCCCATTCATCCTTGCCTAGCTGGATGGATAATAATGCCAAGTATTAGTTAGTGTTAAGTGGTGTTTTGGCATTGAACTTAAGTGACTTACAAAGTAAGGGATAGTATAGTTGGTTAATTAGGTGTAACCAATAGCAGGATTAAAGCTGACCCAAAAAATACATCTTTAAAAATTAAATTATTATTTTTATGTCCAAATAAAAAATAAGAAACGTAGAGATACAGATGGGTTGGACAGCTTCCAACTCACCTTTGCTATCCATTTATTCTTTGTGGTGTTGATGCCCCCAAACCTTGGATAATCACTTACATCGGATCTTATACTAATTTTAATATATTCCTGGTTAAATTTGTGAAATAATTTTGGGTAAATTACGTATTCAGATACTAACTGTTCTCACGGCTCCATTTTTAGTCACTCAATTACTTTTTTTTTAACAAAATTACACCTAACGTTACATCTTAGAGAAAAATAGTTTGATGATCAAAACAGAATCACATAAACATTTGGTGACTAAATATGTAGTTTACCGAATTAGTTTTTAAAAAATGAAATAAAAGATGCCCTCATCACTCACTTTCGTGAATGAAAGGCAACCATGAACACTAACCACTTACACAAAGTATTCAACTTCAACAAGAAGATCATCAAAGTTCACAACTCTAACAAAAAAAATGCATAAAGGATTCAAAGAATAATAATAAACTGTAAATAATATCGAATTGAAAACATATACTAATCGTAATTCACATTGATCAGTCCATCTACTTTCTGTTTTTTTTTTTTTTTCAGTAATGGCAATCTACCAAAGCTGGTGAGGTGAAGACAATAGCTTGTTGTGGTGCTCCGAATTGGAGCTTCGAATCCCTTAAATCATCTTCTGGTGCAGGTAGATTAAGATCCAAAGAGAGAATATTTCTGGGTTTATTTTCATCGCCACTGCTGGTGGCAGCCGCCGCCCTGTGCCGTCGCATGTGACCGCCGAGGGCTTGTCCCGACGAGAACTCCGATCCACAGATTGAACACTCGTGAATCTTGTTGCTCTTGTTCATTTGTAAAGCAAGAGCTGGAGTTTTCAAGACCGGTTCTTGGTCGACATGATGGTGATCTTTATCTTCTCCGACGGTGGAAGCGCTGCCCTTGGGCTTCTTATGGCTTGCCCTATGCCCTCCCAGTGCTTGGAACGAAGGGAAAGACTGGTTGCAAGTTTTACACTCGTAAACAAAAAGCCCACCCTTGCTCATCGTCGTGGTAATCTCGGACAACTTCCGGTTACCCATTTTTCGAACCTTGAATCTCCCTTCATCAATTCTCTTGGGACCATCACTTTGCGCCAACATGATTAAACAGTTCGCCATATCTTCTTCCTCCTCGGTGCTCTCGTAAATCTCACCGGACGTGGTGGTCGTAGAGGAAATCGAGTTATACTCCTCCACCACCCCATTTCCAACTCCGCCAATAGAAGAACTCGACGAGCTCGTCACACCCACAGGGGACGAGGGCCTTTGGCGCTTCGTACGTTTGCCTTTCATGATCGAAGCTTGACGATGATCAATAGACCCCACGAATTCATGTTGATGAACTTCCATATCCACCACAGCTAAATCTCCACCAAAGCCAAGAAGATGAAAAAAAAATGAAGAAAAAAATGTGAGCAAGTGACCAAACAAAGGAGGTGAGTAAGAGGAGGAAACAAAGATAGTGAGAGTAAGAGGAGTCCTTATGTAGTGTGAAGGATAAGTGTCTATATTATTATATTATGAATACTTTGTACCTTGCTATATATGCCCACCATTCTTCTTCCTTTTTTGCTTCCCAACTTTCCTAGGTATTACTATTACTAGAAACAAAGTCCATGGTAAAATTAAGCTAGGATGTTAAATTGTTGAGATACTAGGTTAATTTCATTATAGAATATTTTATTTTAGTGGTAAAAGAAAATATTATTTGTAATAAAAGTCTTGGTTTTTTTTGGTTACATAAAGTTTAGGTTAGGGGCTCCCCTAGTTCAGGGTCAGGGCATACATAAGATCCAATTGGATTTGCATAGGAATTTACAGATTGCCCATCAAGAGTGACGATGATAGGATTCAAACTTGACCTTAGAAGCTCAAATTCTTGAGTCCCAACCACTTGTACTGACACTCGATGGCAAAGGTCTTGGTTTCAACAGTTGGGTCTACAAGATATGTAACACCATTAACTTGTATTTATATCCGAATACAAGTTAAGGATGTCACTCGCTTCTGTATAGCTTTTACTGTTCAAAGGTTGATAAAATTTTGTTTCTTTTAAAATGTCATAATTTAACATTTATTATCATACTATTTAGTAACATAAATTCGTAATGATATATTTTAATTTCCAATTGGCATCGGTTTTTAGGCAGCCACTGGACAATTTAATATTGTTTCATATTACAATTAAAACTGGCTAATTTTAAAACTCAACCAATTAGTCTTTATAACATAATTTATTAAAGCATTCATACACAACCATTTAGCATCTTATCGTATTTTCACTTTTCTTTATTACTATTTCTCATACTATATTATTGCGGAATATCTTTTATCTCATCATACCTGTTGATAAATCGGGCAAAGTAAACGAAAGAACACAAGAATTTTAACGAGGTTCGGCAATGTGCTTACGTCCTCGGTGCCTACGCGGCGCTAGAAAATTTTATTCAATTCTCATAGGTTTAGGTTACATCTCTATTTATAATAGAAAATCCTGGTACATAATTACAAAATTAACCCTGTACCGTACCGCGGGGCGCAGCCCCCGCACCCCCAACCCACATAATCGTAACCCCCTCTACGAGACTTTCTTTGTAAGAACAGTTGATGTTCGCTTCGCTCACTCCGCTCCATCCCCTGTCCTCTTTACCGGTATATTTATGAGCCATACCTTACAAATCTCCACCTTGGCGAATATTCTGCCCCTTAGGAAACATTCAATGTGGGTTGGGTTACCTTAGTTCTTTAACAACTTGAAACATTCAACAAGTCCAAGCAATGCTTGAACTTGTCTGTCGTAACTGGCTTGGTGAACATATCAGTGGCATTCTCATCAGTGTGTACCTTCTGAAACAAAATCTCTTCAGATGCAACCAACTCTCTGATCTTGTGAAAACGTACATCAATGTGCTTAGTTCTAGCACGATATACCTGATTCTTAGCTAAGTGAATAGCACTTTGATTGTCGCAAAGCAGCTGAACCCCACCTTGCTGAACACCCAACTCCTTTACTAAACCAGTGAGCCATAAAGCTTCTTTTGCAGCTTCAGCCGCTGCCATGTACTCAGCTTCAGTTGTAGATAGTGCCACTACAGATTGAACAATAGACTTCCAACAAATAGGTCCTCCACCAAGAGTAAAAACATACCATGTCGTAGCACTTTGATTGTCGCAAAGCAGCTGAACCCCACCTTGCTGAACACCCAACTCCTTACTAAACCAGTGAGCCATAAGCTTCTTTTGCAGCTTCAGCCGCTGCCATGTACTCAGCTTCAGTTGTAGATAGTGCCACTACAGATTGAACAATAGACTTCCAACAAATAGGTCCTCCACCAAGAGTAAAAACATACCATGTCGTAGATCTTGTATTATCCAAGTCACCTGCATAGTCTGAATCCACATATCCTACAACCAAAGGATTATCTCGTTGACTACCAAAAACAATTCCATGTCCCACAGTACCCTTAAGTATCGAAAGATCCACTTGACTGCTTCCCAATGTGCTTACCAGTTTAGACATGTACAAACTTGACTAACAGCATGAGCTAAATCAGGAAGAGTACATACCATTGCATACATCAAGCAGCCACAACATTAGAATACGGAACCTTTGCCATATCTTCAGCTTCCTTATCTGTTAGGGCACTGTTGATGAGAGCTTAAAGTGGTTCGCCAATGGAGTGCTAACGGGTTTTGCGCTGTCATCGCAAACCTTTCTAGCATTTTTTTAACATAACCCGTTGAGATAGCCACAGTCTCCTGAGTCTCTGTCCCTGCAAATTTCCATTCCAAGATTTTCTTTGCAGCACCTAAATCTTTCATATCAAATTCCTGACTCAATAAAGTTTTCAAACCAATAACATCATCCATGTTCTTCGCAGCAATCAACATATCATCAACATACAGTAATAAAAAAATAAAAGAACCATCATCAAGGCTCTTAACATAGACACAACAATCATACTCACATCGGTTGTAGCCAATCTTGATCATATAGGAGTCAAACCATTTATACCACTGTCTCGGAGACTGTTTCAACCCGTACAAAGATTTCTTCAATCTGCAAACTAAATGCTCGTTCCAGGTTGAGTGAAACCTTCAGGTTGCCGCATGTAGATCTGCTCCTCTAAATCACCATGCAAAAAAGCAGTTTTAACATCCATCTGCTCTAAATGCAAATCCCAATTGGCCACCAATGCAAGTACTGCTCGGATTGAAGTACGCCTGGCCACAGGAGAAAAAATTTCATCATAATCAACTCCTTTCTGCTGTGAAAAACCCTTTGCTACCAAACGAGCCTTGAACTTGAACTTCTCCCCCTCTTTTTTCTGTTACTGCTGGTTTCTTCTTATACACCCATTTGCAACCAATCAACTTTTTACCCTCAGGAAGGCGAACCAACTCCCATGTACGATTGTGATTCAAAGACTCCATCTCCTCAACCATGGCTGCCATCCACTTGTCATTTTCCTGACTAGTAACAGCATCATGAAAATTAACCGGATCATCACTGCTAACAATAAGTGCAAAAGAGACCAAGTCTTCAAAACCCAATCTACTCGGATGCTTTATATTCGTCCGTCTCACCCTATCTCTGGCGAGTCTATAATCCTGCAAATCATCCGTAGTGGAACCACCAGAAGTCGGTTGAGAAGTTTCTGGTTTCTCAACTGGAAACTGCTCGAAATCCACCACTGTCTTGTCTTTCTTCTGTTGCAACATGGATTGTTCATCAAAAACAACATCTCTACTGATCATAATTTTCTTCGCAACTGGATCCCAGAACTTGAATCCTTTGACACCTTTCTTGTAACCCAGAAAAATACTCTCCTTCGATTTTGCATCAAGTTTGGATCTCTCATCAGCAGGTACATGCATATAAGCAGGACAACCAAAAATCCGTAAGTTATCAAAACTAACATCATGACCAGTCCATACCTCTTCTGCAACTTTACCAGCCAATGATGCCCTTGGCGATCTATTGATAAGATAACACGCCATGTTAATAGCCTCGGCCCATAAGTGTTTGGGAAGCCCCGCATTCAACCGCAAACATCTGGCTCTTTCATTCAACGACCTGTTCATCCGTTCCGCAACACCATTCTGTTGTGGTGTCTTGCGCACTGTAAAATGTCTCTTAATCCCGTGCTCCTTACAGAAGTGTAAAAACTGTGAATCTGTGTACTCCGTACCATTGTCAGACCGCAAACACTTGATTTTTCGTCCTGTTTGGTTTTCTACCTCAGCTTTCCACAGCTTGAACTTCTCAAAAACTTCATATTTCTGTTTCAAAAAATACACCCAAACTTTTCGTGAAAAATCATCAATAAAAGTAACATAATACCTAGATCCACCCAAAGACGATGTTGTGGAAGGCCCCCATACATCAGAATGCACATAATCAAGAATCTCTTGAGTTGTGTGCCTCGTAGTCTTGAAACGGACTTTAGTCTGTTTACCAAGAACACAATACTTGCAAAAATCGAGCTTACAGCTTTTGACACCATGCAACAGATTTCTTTTGTGTAATTCTGTCATACCACGTTCACTAAAATGAGAAGACGCATATGCCACAGTTTTTGTAGTATCATCACAGGACTCAACAGAATGAACTCCACCTGCAACGGTACTCCCTAACAATCTATAAATATTTCCTGCAGTCATCTTTCCTTTCATCACAATCAAAGCCTTTAACAATCCGAATGTTTTTCCTATCCTCATCAGCCTTAGGGATAAAACCATTCTTGTGCAAAGTGCCTAAGAAATCAATTCTTCTTCAATCTGGGATATGTCGAACACCACTCAACGTCCAAACAGAACCATCATACATCTTAATTCTGACATCACCAAATACCAACAATATTACATATCGATCATCACCCAAATAAACAGAACCAGAATTAACCGACCTGTATGTCGAAAACCATTCCCTATTTGGCGTGATGTGATAAGAACATCCAAAATCAAGAATCCACGCATCCGTCAATTGAGTCGTTGAAATAGAAAGCATATCACCCTCACTGCAATCAGAATTGTCATCCTCGACCACGTTCACAGACTTGGATGAAAAATCACGCTTCTCATCAGTCTGCTTTTTCAACTTCGGACATTCTCGCTTCATATGTCCCGCCTCCTTGCACTTGAAACGGTGAATTGTCTTCTTATCCCTAGATTTGGATATGGAATTCCGCTTGCCAGACCCTGCCTTCTCTGGCTTCCGTCCACGGTCTCGATTACCCTTGACATATAAGCTATTGGCTTGAGAGTTTTCCCCTGCATTCTGCTTCCGCTGGTTGTGAGCCAACAAGGCTGCAGTAATCTCCTCAACGTTGATAGTCTCTTTCCCATATGTAAGAGTAGTCACCATGTGTTCGTAAGAGGGAGGCAATGAACACAACAAAATCATCGCTCTGTCTTCATCCTCAATTTTTACATCAAGCCGAGCCTAATTAGAAACGATTTGATTGAAGAC